CAAAAATAAATAAATAAATAAAATAATCGTTCATTAGCCGTAATCGAGTTAAAATGCTCAACTAACTGAGGATTTGATTTAAGGTCAAATCGCCCAGCCCTAAATCAAAGTGGAGGTATGATAGATCAGTGGTTAGCACTTTTGCCTCACAGCAAGAAGGTCACTGGTTTTAGCCCCGGCTGGATCAGCTGGCGTTTCTGTGTAGCGTTTGCATGTTCTCCCCTTGTTGACGGTGGTTTTCTCACTCTACTAATCCATATGAGTACTGTGAACTTACTCCATTTAAGTTGAAGTAATGAGGTATTTAACGAACTCATTACTTTCAACACTGAGTTCAAAACTCTTTTAAAATGAGTAAAAAGAACTTTTAGTAAATTTTGAGTTAACTAAACTCGTTTAATTTGATAACGATGACTGTTGTGTTTTACAGTGTATGAATACTTGTCTTTATCACTTTTAAAAACTGTAAATTTAATGGTATTTTTACTGTAAAACATCTAAAATTGCATTGTAAATTTTTTTTAACCAATTACAGGTTTTAGCCATTGAAATCACATAATTTTTTTGTGTAGAGACAAAGAAAAACCTTTTTAAAAATAGATTTACTTTGAACAACATTAGAATGAAAAAAGACAGATTATCCACAAAGTTTGGAATAACATTAGAGTAAAAAAAAACAGATTGTCCACAAAAGTGCCAAACTACCTCTTCAAATTTAACCTCCATGCTTCCATAAACAAAACACTACAGTAATAAGCCCCAATGAAGCACCACTGTTGTCCAGATGCATAAAATGCTGCCACATATTATAGATACGTGAAGTGATTTGTGTAGATGAGCCGAATAGCTGTTTATTCAATGTAAGTGGTGGATCAATAAAGACTGATGAGAGAGCTTTTTTTAATCTGTACGCTCTGCTTACACCAGTGCTGTGACAGCGCTGTCGACCTCTTTGATTTGTGACTTTGCAGCGGTCAATCATAGCACTGCCTCAAAAACCTGTTGGTTAGCGGAATTGATTTAGCACTTTTCACGTCTTTATCACCTTGTAATTACGCTTGGTGTTGACACAAATATACTTGGCCTCCCCTCCACGCCTCTGTGCAGCAGAATTTATGCACTCCGGTTTTATGACCACTGCTTTATGAGTGGGACCGCTAGAGTTAGGCTTGAGTTCTAGCCAACGGGCCTATATTTCATTCAGTAAGGTCAACGTTCCTGGGGAAACACCCGTAAAACAAGAGCAGCAGCAACCCCACATTGTCTGAAATTATACTTGAGGACGCTTCTGAAGAGGTCTACAAGATTCGAGAGATACAAGTGCAGCCACTTTCGGAAATATCGCCATCAATAAAAGCCAGTTCAATTACATGTCAGTCACAGAAGGATTAAAAGTTAGAGCTGATAAATATACTCATGAATATAAAACTCCTGATGACAAAATTACAGCCATGCTCAGGCTATCTGAGATGGTTCAACTCCTTGTTTATACAAATTAATAATATGGCATGAGATAAAAAATAAATGGCCTGTGCACATCCTTTCTGTGTTTTGGTAACCAACCATGTCAGATTTAATTATACTTAGTGTTTTCTGAACAAACCTGCTTTGACTGTTCTGTTATTTAAACAGGAGGTTTGTTAGCTGTCATGTCTGTACAGTTTATTAATCATTATTAAAAACCAACAGTGGCAAAATAAATGATGGTACAATTCTTTCTGTTTCCTACTTAAAGATAGGTGAGTTCTGCTATTTGTATGACATTTTATAGATTTTTACTGTAACAATGGTATATATGACAGGAATCTTATATTTTCTATCTACTGTATCAGTCACATTTAGATATATGATACACCATGATATATTAAAAAACTAAATCCCAATGAACCCCTTAAAATAATATTTATTTCTAATTTTTATATTTTAAATACTTAATTTAATCCACTGAATGTAAATGGTTTTTGCAAAATCTATTAAAATAGTGTATAGTAAGTATGTTATTTATACAAATGTATCTATTAGACTGAATGATGATGAAGCGCTATTACCCTCATCTTGACATTTTATTTAACGTCATAACAAAAGTTATTTATAAACAATCAATTTAATTTACTTAATCTTTACTTGTGGTTAATACTGTCACAATCACTAGCAATCCAGGCTTGTAGATCGCTGGGAATCATTCCTTTTCACTCAGGACAGCCAATCTGTCACCATATGGACCACAGATCCTGTCATGCACCACACACTCACACCTTTTCTGGTTTTCCGCGGATTGCTAACACAAACACAGCTGAGGCTGTTGAGAACTGATTACATGGTCTTTAAACGCAGCACCGACAAACACACTACTTGCTGAATCTTCTTTATCTGTTTATCTGTGAGCATTACGACGTTTAGCCTAGCCGTGTTGTGATGCTTAGCTTTGTCTGTTTGTTTTGATTCATTGCTGCCTATACTGACTATTTGCCTGTTCTCTGACCATGACTTTGGATTGCTCTGCATGTACCTGTTTGACTGTGTTGACCATCGCTTGCCTGACTATTCTTGTTAATAAACGTGCATCTGGATCTGCACCTCTGTTGTCGTTGTATATAAAATTCACATTTTAAAATGGGTGTCTCTTCTTTGACACAATGACCCAGCAGGCACACAATGCCATAAGTCATAAATTCCAAACATTATAAATTCAATGTCTAGCTAGCATCTAAGTATGTTATTTTGGCGTCTAATAACGATGTCAGACGATGTTAATATTTGGTTGATTTTAGGTTGTGTTGAATAGCGATCAAAATCCAACGTCGAGCCATCCTGATGTCAAATACTGACATTTATTACTCAGGTTCGTGTGTGTGTGCGTGTGTGCGTGCGTGCGTGTGTATGTGTGGACCAGGACACACCAAGCCGAAAAACTACTGTGTTGTCAACTCACATCTGGTCTGCACTGGTCTGAGAGGAGACCCAAACCTGCAGTTGGCAGTAATCTGCTTTCTCATTTGACAAAAAGAAACCGGAATATGCAATGCCCACATGCAAAGTATAAACAAAGCATCACCACTGTACTTGATAGTCTCCATGGAGGGATTTACTGGTGCAAATATGTGATAATCTATGAAAAAATAATATTCTGTGCCCAATTCCTTTAAATTCTAACATTTAAATTTTGAATGATTAAAAAAAAACTGGTGTAATTTGCTTTCAAGGTATTTTTACAGTTCAGTTTTAGTGATGTTCATGTTTATAATTGCACTTCCTTTGTAGTTTACTTTAAAATCATTTATGCCATTTTGAACACAGCCGTGGCTCATAGCAAAAGCTATAGGTGATTTTTTAGTTAAAAGCAAAATTACGTTACGTCTCCAAAGCTTATGAAAACAAAAATATAACATTAAATATAAAAATACAACGTTAATGGTTTTAATTTATAGAAGGTTATTTATTAAGAAATGTATCTGTGACATAGGCCTGGTGGTTAGAACATTTCTGCAGAATGTGTCAAATTATAAAAGTAGACTTTTTAAAAAAATAAAATAACCAAATAAACAAAATCCTACTTAATAATAATAATAATAATAATAATAATAATAGTAATAATAATAATAATAATAATAAATAAAAATTATTATTATTATTATTATTATTATTATTAAGTAGGATTTGTTTATTTCTTAATTAATAGCCCACTGTAAATTAAGCCAATTTATATGATTTACATATGAGATTAGAATAAGTGTTAGCTTAGTGATTTTTTATGGATTCTTCTCAATAATATTTGTAAAGGAAACATATTGCCTATTGCATATTGTACTTTATTTGTCATTTACATATATTTGAATTAATATGGGAAACGAGTGCTTGTTTTTACCAAAACTAATATTGGATTTTATTTTAAATGCAGGTTTATGTAAAACAATATAATTTGCACAAAACATTATGGGGTTTTTCGCTAAAGAAGTAGTTATTGCACCCCGTTTAAAGCATCATTATGGGTGCTTTACGTTATAACTAACATGGTTCAAATGATAGATCTGCAACAGAGCAACTGCGGTTTTGGGAAACACTCGTCACTACATCATTCGACGCATCGTACTATGATAGTTCAGCTGCGAGTTGTGTCATTGTTTTGGAAAGCGTACCCCAGATTGGTTTTGGACAGCAATAATGAATCTAAAATTTAGATGAACTATCCCTTTAAGGTAACATTGAGCTAAGTCAAAGGCAAAATTAAAACACATTGATTATTTCACTGGTGTATCTTTAAGAATCAGCTACACTATGTGTTCCTGCTTACATCCCATTTGTAAAATACAAAAACATATAGATTAAAGTGAATGCATCAAATAAAGTGGTTTGCTTGGCTGACCACTCAATTTTCCGAAACACAACTACAGCGATGAATCAACAGCCTATTATTGAGAAAGTGCCTGTGTGGCCACAGCACTGCAATCGTCTACAGGCCATAGATGTAAAAGGAGTTTTCTTTTATGTCAATATGGCATGCTACAAAACACGCTCAATTTGCTGCTCGCAAATCTCTTGGAGAAAAATCATTTGCTTTCTTATAAAGACAACATGTTGCTGATACGCTATTCATTGCATTCTGTGACTGATACACAACAATCAAAGCAGTAGAAAAAGAGTACCGCAAATCCTCATGCATTATATTTTATCTGAGGCGCTTTTTCAAAATACTGCAATAAGAATGAACTGACTGAGCGCAGTACATCCCAGCTTTGTCATTGAGAATACAGTAAATGAATAGCTGCTAAGAGAAAGTCAGCGAGTATTGACCGATATGACTCATCTTATGGCCAGCTCCATATTATTCATCATTAGTGAGGAGATGGATAGGGCGAGATAAGAGAAAAAAAAATCTAAATACATGCAGAGCACTTCAACTAACAAATCAGCCAAGGCCATGAAGCCAACAGCGCTGAACTAAAACTCTGACCTTGTATGTGTGTGTTTAAGTGAGAGATGTGAGGAAGTAACACACAGACCTTGCTGAGGATGTAGATCAAATCTCCTCTCTGGAAGGCCAACTCATCCGGTCCCTCAGCTTCACAATCCCACAAGCCTTGGTAATAATTGGCATAATCGGAGGACCCTTGATTTGAGAAAAAAAGAGGTTTTATCGATGCACTTTTGAAAATATCGCCATCAATTAAAGCCAGTTTAATTACATGTCAGTCGCAGAGAGATTAAAAGTAAGAGCTGATAAATATACTTGTCAAAATATAATAATATAAACAGTCCAATGACAAAATCACAGCCATGCTCCGGCTATTTGAGATGGTTCAACTCATTGTTTAAACAAATTATAAATCATTTTCCAGTGGACATCCTTTCTGTGTTTTGGTAAACAACCATATCGGATTTATTATATATAAAAAGTTCATATGCAAAAACCTCTAAGTGCCGTCTGAAATTTTCTTCTAAAATTTGCAGTTTTCTCAACATCCTATGTTTATGTTTAGTTATTTAAATTTAAATTGAATGAAAAGAACTTATTCTTATTCTTTAAAATAAAAATACTGAACCTAAAATTGGGAGCCTGTAAAAAAATGCTACACTGTAGAAAATTTAACCCAGTACAAAAAAAAACATAATCCTTATTTCCTTTCACTTTTTTTTTGTTCACTCAGCTTTTAAAAAAAAAAACATTTAATGGGGATACTTAACATAAGATTATTTATTAGCTTTCTGGAGAGGTGAACTCTGTAACAAAACTTTTTAAGCTGTGCCAACTAAAAATGTTTGGTCTACAGAACTGGAATGACTTAAGTTGAGTCAACAAAAAAATACTTATTTCAGACATTTAGAGGCTTTTGCATTTGAAATCTTCATATTTTATTGTTTTCTGAACAAACCTAAGTATATTAAATAATTAATGTAGTAAAAAAGGTAATGAAATGTACAGGCTTAGTAACTAATGAATCTCTGAATTATATACCATAATTCACAATATAACTCAGAGGTTCATTAACTGCTATGTCTGTACATTTCTTTGTGATAATTAAATATTAACAGTGACAAAAATTATAATAGAAGTCTTTCTTTATCTTAAAGAAATAGTTTACTAAAATAAATTTAATTAATATATTTACTCCTTTGTCTTGGTCTGATATTTTGGTTGGAAAGAAAAGGAGTTTTCAACATAAAAACCACTAAAGTAAAACAAAAAAAAAGCTTTTTTACAATGATTTACATAGGAGCCACTAAAAACCAGTTTGTCAATAATAAGCATAACTTAAAGCCCCTTGATTTTAAAACAAAGCTTCTTTCCATAAATTCCACATATAAACACATAGAAAGTACTCACCAGTTCTCTCACTGCAATCTTCAGCGTTGTCAGAATTTTCATCATCTGCAAAATAAATACAAAAGGTCAGAAGTTATAAAAATACAAAACAAATGCCATCTATCCGATATAAAAATACGAAATTCTGCCAATTTACGCTACATCTTCCAACTTCCGGATCAAATTTGTGTTCTTCTTTTCTAAGAGTTTCAAACAATATCTCCTGTTCCAGTGTGATTTATGGCAGAGGTGCCAGGTCGGGTTAGATGGCTAGTGTGTTTCAGGCAGACAGGCATTGATTCTGGGCGTGGCACCTCTAGGTCTATGAGGTGACAGTGATAGCCCAGCTTTCTGTCTCCCACATCCATCCTCACGCTGTCAGCCTGCCGATAAAACCACCGTCCAGCAACCCTATACTTCCCACAGCACGCGCTTGCCCTGAGCTTCCAGGAACAGCATGAAGAAAAAAAACCTGTAAAGCTAAAGTGGTCCTTTACCATATGCCCATGTGCAAAATGTATGTCTAAAATGTGTTGTTGAAGGCTTTATTTTATAACAAGAGACGTTAATTAGCATTGTCAAAATGTGAATTGTGAGCAACTAATGTAGAACTACATTTATTTTAAGTTAAATTAACATACAAAAAATGTGTTGTCATGAATTAAAGGTTATTTACTTTTTGGCAGTATCTGTGAATTCTGAATCTAAAACGTTTACAGAAAAAAAATCATTCATAATTCTTGCAATTCTGACATGCTACTTGCAATTTCTATTCATTTTATTTCTTGTTTTCATTTCCCATTTCTGACTATTTCTAGAAAGGCTGAGTTTATATATTCTAATTCTGACATCTTTTAAAATCCAGTTTGAGTTTGTATTTCACAATTCTGTCATTTGACTTAATTTTTATAAGTTTATATCTTGGGATTCTCCTTTTTTCCTAGATGTCTAAGTTTCTTTCACAAATCTGACTTTTTTCCTGCTATTCTAATGTTTATCTTGGATTACTGACTTTTTTGCCACCAAATATGAGTTTACATCACACAATTCAGTTTTTCCTTCTTTTTTTCCTCATTCTCACAACTTCAAATTTGCATTTCTGCCTTTTACCTGGATGGGGGACCACATAGGAAAGCTAGGTTGCTGCCGGAAGTGTTATTATTGAGGCCAGGAGGGGATGCTCAACCTGTGGCCTGTGTGGTTCCTAACACCCCAGTATAGTGAAAGGTACTCTATACAGCTCAGTGAGCACCGTCTTTTGGATGAGACGTTAAACTGAGGTCCATCATTGCCTCCTAACCATCCCCATCACTCTGTCTCCTCTCCACCACTCATCCGGATGCTGAACACTGGTGGTGAATAAGGAGATTCCCCTAATGTGTAAAGCGCTTTGAGGGTCTAGAAAAGTGCCATATAAATGTAAGGAATTATTATTATTTTAAGTTAAATAACATACAAAACATGTGTTGTCATGACTTGGTTATTGAATTTATTGTGCATTCTAAATCTAAAACATTTACAGAAAAAAAGCTTTCATTTTTGTAATAGAATTAAAGCAAACATTGTGAATTAATATACAGCAGCACACATTTTATTAGATTTTTTCTTTACAAAACTGTAATATTGTAAAAAAAATATATATTAAAAATCAAATGTTTTATTTATTTATATTTAAATATTTATCATTACCTGATCCTCGTCTCGTACTCTGATGTAGTGATGTAATGCTCAAAAACATGTATTATTATTATCATCAATGTTGAAATGTTATGCTGCTTAATATTTGTGTAAAAAATACATATGATCATTAAGTTATGCCAACAAATGTTTGTTACTTTAATTTATTAAACGAAGATGAGCAGTTTAACTTCAGTTATATAACATTCAACTTGATACTTTATGTCAGTTTAATCTTATATTATTTGACATTTTAATTGCTTATAAAGTTTATTTGTTTAAGCCTAAAATAAGACAGCAGCTAATTTAGATGTTAGAATTTTTCAGAATTCTTTAATAAACACATACAGTGCTCAGCATAATCGAGTACACCCCATTTTGAAAATGAATATTTGTATCCGTTTTTCAGTAAAATGTATTTTGGTGCATTTAAACAAAACAGATTTATTAAACAGATAAATTTATTGAAATAATATTTCAGTCACCATCATATTTAAAAATGGAAAGATAATACAATTAAATTCAAAATTAAAAATAAATTACAACCAACAAAATTTAAACTAAACTCTTCCATTTATTTATTATTTTTTTATTTATTTTTTTATTTTTTGCTTCTCTTGATTTTTTTATCTTTTTTAAAATTTGTATTTAATATTTTTCTATAACATAAATTTGGCTGTACTAGTTTTTGACCATTATCGTAAGTTTTTTGTAAGATAAGCTCCAGATTTGGCTTCAGTACTGACTAATCTAATGTATATGTATATGCACAAATATTATATTCTATAGCTTCCTATTAAAATATGAATTGAAAAGAGAGATTTGTGAGGGGTGTACTTATATATGCTAAGCACCATACCTCAAAGTTTAAATAAATGTTTTTTTTTAATAAAATTTAACTTCCGATCAATTTCTTTCTTGACAAAAGTTTAAATTTCCCTGAATAAATATTTCTCAAACTTTGGATCAAAAGTTGAAGTCAGAATTATTAGCCCTTCTTTGATTTTTTGTTCTTTTTTAAATATTTCCCAAATTATGTTTAACAGAGCAAGGAAATTTTCACAGCATGTCTGATAATATTTTTTCTTCTGGAGAAAGTCTTATTTTTTATATTTCGGCTAGAATAAAAGCAGTTTTTAGTTTTTTTAAACACCATTTTAAGGACAAAATTATTAGCCACTTTAAGCTATATATTTTTTTCAATTGTCTACAGAACAAAACATTTTTATACAATAACTTGCCTAATTACCATAATCTGTCTAGTTAACCTTATTAACCTAGTTTAGCCTTTAAATGTCACTTTACGCTGTTTAGAAGTGTCTTTAAAAACATCTAGTCAAATAATATTTACTGTCATCATGCCAAAGATAAAATAAATCAGTTATTAGAAATTAGTTATTAAAACTATGATGTTCAGAATGTGTTGAAAAAATCTTCTCTCCGTTAAACAGAAATTGGAGAAAAAATAAACAGCTGGGCTAATAATTTATGGGGGCTAATAATTCTAAATTCAACTGTATGTGCTATATAATTGTATGTAAATAGTTTCTTTGAAGCCATTAGTTCGTACATTAACACTTAATTCAGCACTTTTTTTAGACAATGTCATAAAAACACTTTTGCTCAGCACTTTTCCAAACTGAAAATCTGAGAGGCACAAGATGATGAGAGGGAGATGAATGAAGGGCGGAAAAGTGAGAGAGGTGGTCACTCGATCCACCATCTGTGGCCAGCTCAGCTGCCCAGCACACATGGCAAAGTAAGGTGAAAATGACAGCACTCCAGAGTGATCTATTTCTCCTCGGAGATCTCATTAGGTCCTGCGAGGGCCCTGCTATCACTTTGGGTGACCAGATCTTGATGTATATGCTCTTATTGACGATGTTTAACATTTTAGCACTGATGGTAACAACCTTACTAGCTGTGCTCCACTAAAATCCCATCAAGAACTCATTCCTGTAGGGAAATTTACAGTCAAACTTAATACCAAAGGCATCCCCTTGATTTGTTTACAGTGTGATGCGTTGTTTTTACCGGGAAGTATTTCATAAATGTCCTCTTCCTCATCATCTTCTTCGTCTTCCTGAGGCAGTGCTTGGTCTTTCCACTCTTCATGGCTGTTTTGAGTTTTTCTCGGGGTTGTAACCTGTGCAGACGCTACTCCAGGTCTTGGAGGTGGTGGTGTTGTTGCTCGTTCAATATCATCATACGTCTCTTCCTCTTCCTCCACCTCTTCTTCTTCCTCGTCATCATCAAAAGGGATGAAGTTTGAGCTCAAATCTTGGAGAGAAGCCATAAAATCAATCACTAACACAGAAACAATGAAAGTGACAGCAGACAAACAACCAGTGTATTGGGCTTTGAAACCACTGGTGAATATGGTTCTATTTTAATATATTCAGATTTTAATTTATTTTAGATGCAACTGAAACTGGTCACACTCTACAGCAACTGGAGTGTCAGTAAACAGCTTAATATCTACTACCATCTAACAGATAATCTATAAGTAACTTTTTAAATACCTCCCAACTTATTCATCTTACACTAATAATAACAACAACTGTAAACTAACAGTCTATTAATTATCTAATATCACTCTTAATAATAATGAGGGTTAGCTGACATTTAGATGCTAATTTACTTGCAGTCATTAATATTTTTAAAGAAGACCATCAAAATTAAGTGAAACCAATGATAAGAGCAGCATAATTCCATTTATGTAAAAAGTTGACATCACAAAAACATAATTTTCAAATTTTCTTATTTTTTTCCCTGGTTAAGCTCAGATCTTAGAGAGAAGCTATAATAATAATGATAAATGCCTAAACAATTAAAACAACAGCAGACAAACAATGTACATATAGTGGTGTTTGAGACCACCTGTGAAAATGGTTCTATTTTTATTTTGATCTGTAAATTTAAATATCTTAAATCTAATTTACTTCTGTACTGATTAAACTGAATTTGAAGCTGCAGTTACTTTAGTCTTCAGTCTTAAGTCACTTTCCTGATCTTGAAAAGAAGCCTGAAAATAACCATTAATGCTGAAATAAGAAAAATGACTCATTCAGGTAAGAAGCCATTATGAAAGAGTAATACAAATTAAGCAAAATCCGATAATGCGTTCTGAAATGTAAGTCAATTAAAGGGACAGTTCGCCCAAAAATTAAAAATCTGTTGTTTATTCACCCTCTACTTCTTCCAAACCTGCATGGGATTCTGTCCTCCTACTGGTCAATGGCACACATTCTTCAAAATAATCTTTTTTTTGTGTTTAGTAAAACAAAGAATCTCATATATGTTTGCAACAAGGGAAGAGTGTGTAAATAAGTAAATGAGTTTTAATTTTTGTGAGAACTGTCCCTTAAATTTTAACTTGTTTATTAAACATGTAGAAAATCAGTATGGCTCAACAGCTGTACTGATGTTTGGCTAAAATAGCACTATAAATTGTGTGATGTTGCTTATCTACGTAATATGTTGTAACATTATTTATATTGTCTTTATTGCAATATGCCATTTTAAGTTTTGTTAATTCAAGTTTATGTCAACCAGCTACAAAAAAACTAAAGTAGCTGATTATCAAGTGTTTCGTGTTGTAAACATTAACAAACAAAAACAAAATGAGGTGCATATGAACCTGCTTCACTTGCTCTGAAGCGCCAAATATTTATTTATTTATTTATTTTTAATTAATTGTATTTCATTTTATTTTATTTCATTTAAATAGTAGTTACTTAGTCCATTTATTCATCAGCAGTAGCCACAGGGGAATGTACTGCCAACTTATCCAGCATATGTTTTTACACAGTGGATGCCCTTCCAGCTGCAACCCAACACTGGGAAACACCCATACACTCCTGCATTCACACACCTACAAGACCCATTTAGCATATTCAATTGATCTATACTGCATGTCTTTGGACTGTGGGGGAAACCGAAGCACCCGGAGGAAACCTACGAGAACACGGAGAGAACATGCAAACTCCACACAAAAATGCCAACTGACCCAGCCGTGGCTCCAACCAGCAACCTTCTTGCTGTGAGGCAATTGTGCTATCCTCTGCGCCACCGTGATGCTTCCTTATTTATTTATTTGTTTGTTTTGACTTGCAGATGCAACTGAATTTCAACATACCCTGTAGCACTTGACATATCAGTAAACAGCTTAATATCTACTTCTCTACTACCACTTTATTTTCAGTGTCCAAACAGATGTTCATCTGACTTTAAGTAACTTTGCATAGCAAAACTTGCCAACTTATTAATCTTACATTAATAATAAGCATAACCTAATAGTCTATTAATAATCTATTCTTACTCAATAATAATGAGAGTTAGCTGACATGTAGCAGCAAATTAGCTTAGTCAACAATTTTTCTAAAAAGCACAGTAAAAATAAAGTGTCACCAAATACGATAGAAGCATAAATCAATTTAAGAAATACATTGAAATTGCAATGAAAATAACATTAATTTCTTATTTTCTCAGTCTAGTTTTATTCTCTCTTTTTTGCCACAATTTTCCATAATGGCAGTGAGATGCTAGATGTAGTTTTTCCTTTTTGCTAAATTAAAATTTCAGGTAAACTTTATTTGTTTTTATGTTTTTATTTTAATTTTACCTTTAACAGATTTTCAGTATATACTTAGATGTTTGTCCACCATAATAAAATAAAGGTGTTAACTTATTACAGTGCTAATTTAGAACTTTTGTGCCAGTTGGCTGTATCTACATGTGCGAAGGGGGATGGGGAAGGAGAAAACTATCTCAGGAGTGTCCATTACTTCCCGCAAATCAGAGGGCCGCATTGAGCCCATTTTAGAGTGGCGAGGATGCCTCAGATCTGTCTCAGATGGAGCGAGAGCCTGATTGCAGGTGACTGAGCTCTGTAACACAGGCTATCGTATCCTCACTGCCTGGATGCCAAGCAGGACCAGATCGATGCCCCTAAAGGATGACCGGGCAAATCCCAATCAATTTCCTGTAAAGAGCGCAGCGCTACGGGGAAGAGGAGGCAGCCTGAGGCACGTTGGGCTCAGAAGCTCAATGACGTGCTGCATGAGGAGGTCTAGAGCCTGTCTTATTGGCTGTGCCGGAGGGAAAGTTATCGTTAAGCCTCTTTTTTATAAAACTGCCCTTTTCACCTCAATATGATCACTGTGGTGCTCAGCCCGAGTCAGATGCATTTATAAAATGATATAAATATGTTTTGCATCTCAATAAAAATGCATTTCATATGTGGCTTACCCTTAAGAACAAAATTGATCTGGTCCACCCATTCTCTTGCTTCACGAGGACTGCTGGCAGTGAACTGTAGAGGAAAAGCTATCATTGTGGATTTGGAGACTATAATCATTCTTCATTGTAATGACAGCAGGATGACTGACTGAACGTGAGGGTTAATGTGAGTGTGTTTGTGTGTGTTGAACCTGGTAAGAGCGTCTTCCAGGAGCACTCATCTCAAAGCAGGAGCTCTTCTTGGAGTCTTTGCGTAAACTGGGAACCAACTCTGCACTGTAACCATTGATATAAAACGAGCCCTTCTGCTGCTTGTCTGAATTCAGAACACCAAATTTAGTTTCTCAGCATCTCTGTATTTAATATTCTTGATACTGAAAGTGCTCAGCATAATTGAGTACACCTCATTTTGAAAATGAATATTTTTATCCATTTCTGAGTGAAAATAGAAAATGTATTTTGGTAAATTTAAACAAAACAGATTTATTAAACAGACATATTTATTCAAATAATATTAGAGTCACCAAACACATTTAGAAATTGAAAGATAATAAAATGAAATTCAAGCAAAATATTGCAAAAAAAATTACAACCTACAACATTATAACTAAATTTTCTATTTTCTATTGAAATATTAAAAATGAAAATTTAAATATTTAAAAAATGAATTTAAAAGAGAGATTTGTGAAGGGTGTAACTATATATGCTGAGCACTGTATTTACACGGAACAAGACATACCTTTATCACTCCCGAAGTAATAAAATATGGTGTTGTTCAGAACACACCATCGCTTTTGCCATTCCATGCTGAAGAAACTGTGATCTGACCAAAGAAATTCAAAAATATATAAATATTTGCAGATGTTAAGGTGCACATTAATTTTTTAAAGATATTTACCTCGTCTCTTTTTTTCCAGGTAACCTTGCTTCAGAATGTTACTCAGGTCTTGTGCAGCCACCAGAGGGATCTCTTCAAAAACTGTCAATCAGAAATCAAGAGAAATAATGCTGTGAAAAAAATGTAGCAAAGTGAAAACTATAAAAGGAATAAATAGCTAATAATAATAATAATAATTAAACTGAACAATGTTGCCATTTGTTTATGCACTTAAAATAAAAAAACTACAAAAACTATACATGTATGTATGCATACAGTGCTCCTCATATATGAGTACACCCCTCACTAATCTCTCATTCAAATAAAAATTTTCTATGCTTTACAATATTATATTTGTGCACATTAGTTTAGTCAGTACTGAAGCCAAATCTTGAGCTTATCGAAAAAACAATAATGGTTCAAAAATTAGTACACCCAAATTTAGGTTAGATAAAAATATTAAATAAAATTTTAAAAATAGCAAATTAAAAAGAAGCAAATGTGAAATGTTTTTGTTGAAATGTTGTAGGTTGTTATTTATTTTTTTTTTTTTGCAATATTTTGCATGAATTCAAATGTATTATCTTTCCATTTTTAAAGCTGTTCGATGACTAAAATATTATTTTAATAAATATTTATTTTTATTTATACACTAATATATATTACACATATTCACTGAGAAATGGATAAAATATTGCTTTTCAAAATGGGGTGTACTCAATTATGCTGAGCACTGTATACAGTTGAAGTCAGAATTATTAGCCCTTCTGACTTATTTGTCCCACTATTTATTTTCCCCCCAATTTCTGTTTAATGGAGAGAAGATTTTTCAACACTTTTCTAATCATAATAGTTTTAATAACTCATTTCTAATAACTGATTTTTCGTCATCTTTGTCCTGAAGACAGTAAATAATATTTTATTAGATATTTTCAAGACACTTTTATACAGCTTAAAGTGACATTTAAAGGCTTAAGGTTAATTAGGTTAACTAGACAGGTTAGGGTAACTAGGCAAGCTATTTATATATATAAAAAATAATAATAACTGCCTGTATTCTAGCAGAAATAACACAAATAAAACTTTCTCCAAAAGAAAAAAAATATTATCAGACATACTGTGAAATTTTCCTTGCTCTGTTAAACATTTGGGAAATATTAAAAAAAGAAAAAAATTTAAAGGGGGATAAATAATTTTGACTTCAACTGTATGTGTGTGTGTGTGTGTGTGTGTGTATCCAATAAATAGTTTTTTAATGATGTTGTTGGTGGGTTTATTAGGAATGGGTTTAAGTATAATAATAATAATTGTTTTATTATATAAAGAATAAAAACATTTCTTCTGAATTTCAAATAAAAATATGATCTTTTAGTAATTTAGGATAACAAATGTGTTTGTTTTTGTGATTGAAACAACCAGGTTAAAATATTGGTATTGCATATGACTGTTTAAATAATGAATATATGCATAAAAACATGACACATTTCGCAAAAAAAAGGTTTTCATTTGTTTATTAAATTTAGAAGAATTCAGTTGTTTGTAGAATAAAACAGAATCTATGCATTATAATATAATAATATACAGGAGGGCTAATAATTCTGACTTCAGCTAAATGTGATATAGAAAATAAATATTTATGATAAATATGGATATTTATAAGCACCCTTAAAAAGAGGATACGTACAAAGATGCTTTTTCCCTACTAAAATTCCCCTTGTCGTTGACTTTGTAAGAAGTGCTATAACTGACTCATTTGGTATAAAAGAGGGGGGTTCACCCATAAACAAATTGTCCCCATCTCTTGAAAGCACTGCTAATATGATGACAACTGTTATAGGAATATATCAAAATGTGGTGCAGGGCGTGCTGCGCTTCAATCTGCACCCACGCACCTATTTTTAGCATGTTTTCTAGGGCACATGAGCGTGGCAGCACAGAGGAACAATTTGCTGCAAACAGGGAAATGAGACACAAATCCTCACCCTCGTGCTCCAGCTTTCATCAGCTTCAAACCTCCAAAGCTAAAAGACAGTGTAGGCGACAGGTGGGCCTCTGGGCACATTACCAGGCTTATTTAAAAACTCATTTAAACATGAGCAGATGCTTCCTTCTCTTGAACTAATCTCTGTGGCATCTCTCGTCTTTGAGCTAAAAGGCTGCGGTTGGATGTATAACAGACAATGTTATGCAGTGAACTGAATTTGTCATTGGAGGAAAAAAAAGTTAAAAGAAAAACAACAAGTGTGAGAGGTGAGGTATAACTGCTATGTGAATCTAATGCCCCATAAATAAGACTCGGCTCATCAAAAGCACCCAGTCTGTGTGACATCACCACCGAGTCTGTAGTCTGCCATGTTATGTGTCCAGTTTATCAGACAGATGACCATCTCAGAGAGGAGCCCTTTGACCCTCGCTCTCATTCACGAACATACGTGAGCCTTTTCTGAACACGCAGCTATCATAAATACAACTGTTTGTCAAGGGTAAGCTGATGTATAATCAAAAAAAGAAGAAGAAAAAAAACGAGGCCTCAGTCCAGCCACTTCTCGGTTCATTTTTCTCCCTGTATGCTTTCGTCCAGACACCTTTTACTCCCCTCATCCATCCACATCCCCCTCTGTTCATTTATCTAAAAGGTCAAGCCCCGGTAATAGTTCAGAATAAACACAAGAAATGTGAGAATGACGCACAATTAACAGTCTCTCTAATCTTCACACACCTACTGACAACCTTCTTCCTCGGGCCTTGCTGTCTGACCCCACGGTGCGCTCAGAGGTTTAGGCAATGGCTAAAATGAATGGCGAATTTGTGTTCAGTCATTCTTCACAACCTAAGACCTGGAAACCAAACAGTGGGAGGATTTCTGGACGGTCACTGTATTCGTGATCCTTCCACAGGGTAGCAGTGTAACCAAACATTTCACCTAGTAAAAAAAATGGCATGTTTTTCTTTTCTCAACTGTCTCCAAGGAAACCCAAGACTCTGATTGGATGAACAGACACAACATTCAACTTCTGTCACTTCTTTCAGACCAATCAGAGCTTGACATTTTTAAAGCCACAGAGAACAAAAACCAGAGCCTGAACCAGATTATATTTCTGTCCGTTTCTTACATTCCATCAGTTCCCGTGCATGTTTTTTTTATCAACATGCACGATTGAAACCATCATAAACAGTCATTCATTTCTGTGGACTTATTAAAGCACCATAAAAATGCACATGGCATTAAGGATTTTCATTTCGACTATAAATTGCATTTTTAATTATTCAGAGCAGTGAGGTTTCTTAACTATCACCCCTTGCATTCTCCCTCCATAATTAGCATAAGACCAATCATTTCCATTTAAATGTGCTGTGGATGTTTATGAATATTTCAGAGTGTTACATCATGGAGGCTCTGTGGCTTCTGACTTCATTTATTTAGTTCTATCATATTCAACTATATTCAGACATAACAAGCAGCACCAAAACTTCTCATATATTCATTCATTATAGTCCCTTAATCAGGGGTCACCACAGTGGAATGATACGCTAACTTAATGATACGGAACCGGAGCAGCTGGAAGAAACCCACGCAAACACGGAAAAACATCTAAACTCCACACAGAATTGCCAACTGACCAAGCCAAGGCTCAAACCAGCGACTATCTTGCTGAGAGGCAATCGTGCTTATATATATTCACTCTGAAATAAAAGTTTTTTTATTGGCTTTGATAGTTCCATGAAGAACGCTTGAATCCAGTAAACTTTTCAATGAGGTATATGCATGCACACAGACTTTTTATTTTAGTCAGCCAGCCCCAGGGCTTCCTGTGAATTGTCATCCTATACAAAATCACACAGTTTAAGATCTGATTTCTTTAAAAAACAGCAATCATTACTGCCTGGCGTAGTTACAATATAAAGTGGGTATCAGACTAAACAAGATGCACTGCATCAAATAATATTTTTTTCGTGTCATGTAACATTTAAAATATGGAAATTAATTTTACCCCAGTATTTTCAATGGAGTTTTTGCACTATAGCCTGCTGCTATTGATGGCATCTGCGTTTAAATGGTCTGTTTTACAACCAAATGGATGGGTGAGTCTATGTAACTGATTATATTTGAATTACATTACAACATCGATGCTGTAAAAAGAACCTTATGAAATTGAAAATAGTCACATAACGCTTTCACCGGAAATTCATCATTTGCTGAAAAACACTACATGTGCATATACCCCATTGAACAAAGGTTCTTTTTCACAAAAAAAGAGCTATTTATTCTTTGATTATATTTCACAGAAAAGTGCTTTGGGTAACAACAAAGGTTTTTGGAATAACTATATGAAAATCTTTTTTTCGTTATTTATGGCATCTTTTTTTTAGGAGTGTGGCCCCACTAAGGGGACATCCATATCTAAGCTTGATATTTTCACACACTTTTAAAACTAAAGGTTTTTATTGCCATCGATCAGGACTGCATGATAGTGGGGGTGGGTGAGGGGGGGGGGGGGGGGGTGGATGCATTTAAATGTTTTGCATTTCTGCAACATTTTGCGATATGAACCCTATTTTACCAGATGCCTTGAATATTTGTAAGATTGACGTTTTTAGAAAGGCTGAGGTTATTTTTTCTATCTCTATAAAATTTAATAAACAAGCTTCTTTTATATTTTTTCTGTGAAGTCATAATGGTAGTCAAAAACAGATATTGAATATTCAAATATAAAATAACACATAATAACAAACATGAAATGAAAGTAATCAGTTTTTTTGTGCCTGAATGCTTTAACCTTACTTCAAACACAGTAAGAGAAACAAAAACTCAAGCAAATTATAACCTTTAATTGCACATTCTAATTACATTAATTTCTAACTGTATTTCAGATTTTGTTCATCTATTATCCTTATTCTTGACATTGCGCATCAGTTATGTGACAATTGCAGATGTGTACAATAGGATCTCAAAATGACGTACTGTGCAGCTCAAGTATCGACGGTTCCTTTAACAACCACAGAACTTTTCTGGAGCCTCTCAACTGAAATGTACGGTTATATCCAGTATGGCATGATCACCTAAAAAGTTATCCTTTGTTTCTGGAAGAAAAACGTTAGGC